TGTCTTATTTGTTGACCTTCAAGAGTACAGCTGTACTTTCGAGAACGGTAGGACAATTATCATGAATCAGTTTGATTACAAAGTCCTTCAGCTAAAAAACACTTGCAAATCGTACCTAGGACTGATAATAGGAGGATCAATGGCACTACTAGTTGTTATTATGACTGTTATCGCAAGTATAGTGTATCGGTTTCGGTGGAAAATACGATACATGTACTACATGACAAAAGGAAAGTACAGCTATAAGAAAATATTACCCGATGATGACAATGAATATACGTATGATGCATTTATATCATACTCCGATGATGACAGAAGCTTTGTCTTTAAAGACTGCATTGAAAAACTTGAAAAAGAAGAAAACTTAAGGCTATGCATACATCAACGGGATCTTATGCCCGGACAAGACGTCACTGTAAATATAACAAATTGCATCCACACAAGTAGAACAACAGTCTGTCTTATAACAAGAAAGTTTCTCAAGTCATATTACTGCATTTTCGAATTCAACATGGCACGTATGCAGAGTATTTATTCACGCCATGGCAGGAATATATTATTCCTCGTATTCTATGAACATCTTCAGCCTAAAGAAATTCCACTAGTCATGCTAGAACTAGTCCAGAAAGAGTCTTACATAGAATACCCTAATGAAGACCAAGGAAATGTATTCTGGGAGAAAATAAAAGAAACGTTAAGGACAAATGTTCGGGCGTGAATTTTCACGTTAAATGAAATTCAAGAAATTTCATGTTTTAAAAATAGGCATGAAGGTAACCATCTACTGTCTAATATTAATTGTATTTCTGGTTGCTGTCTATAACCAAAAGAATATCATTGACGGCAGCATTATGTTTTGATGAGAGTACTTCTGCTTCCAATAGAAAATGATTACTGAAGAATTGAATGCTTCTTTTTGTAACTTCATTGGGGTGACCGAAGTACATTTTGTATGAAGCCCAAAAGCGCTTCATTCTAAAAATGTGGCGACGGTCAACACTTTTACAACCCTATGAAGTGACAAAAAGAAGCATTCAATACTTATAATTACATTTTTTAGCTAAGATCATGAAAACACGATTTTTATCAAGTTTTTATTTAATTTACCTGTGCACTTTATTGGAGACCTCATGTCATCATGAATGATAAATTTTATTGTGTAATGAAGTTGATTAAGTGAACTTGAAATTAAGGAGAGTACCGAAACTAGCAGGTCGACTAAATATCTTGACATTTTCTTCGAAATCGTACCAGATAGAAAAAAGTAAAATCACAAAAATACTGAACTCCGAGGAAACTTCAAAACATTCATTGCTTACTTATATATGTATTATAAATTAACCCATAAAGGATTGAAATTTTTCTAGACGACTTAAAACTAGAATCTATTACAAAAGTGATGATTTCAACTTTCACTTTGTCAACTTCCAATTTCATAACATTGAAATATCTTCTGTGTTCATCCAATAGCGTTTACATATCTCATTGAATACGCTACGCTCATGCATGTTCACATTATACGGACATCATTAACAAGGATGAGCTCCTTGCACAGAAATTGCTCCATCAGAGTACTGAAAAAGAAAGCCTGAATTCGACACTTTAAACGTTTAACTGTCTCCATTACGAATTGATTGACAGATTCGATGGGTCTGTTTCTCAACTCACTATGTTTCAGTGGTCTTAGATCTTTTGGATACTAGAATGGTCGTCTGAATCTGTAAATGATGGATTGTGTCCTATTCCCGTTCGTGACATTTTGACTGATTGTCGATTCGCATGACGGGTGGTGGAAGCATATATATAGCAGGAGACTCTTACCATGTCAACGAACCCAACTGCTTTCGATTTTTGATTTAGTAATTTTATAGTTGCTTCGTCAGCAAGAATACTAACTCATTAATCACCCAAATTATAAAATGTTCGACCTACAGATCACTAAGAACAATGTGAATATCAGGTGTCCATTATCGATAAAAACGACAAACAACTTAGATATTTTTGTTCAAATCATCATCTTTTTATGTCCACTTTTTTCCCTCAACATCAAAACCTTTCACATATATATTTTAGGCCCCTTTTATAAGTTCACCTGGCTCAAAGGGCCAAGTGATCTTTTCTCATCACTTGGCGACAGTCGTCCGTCGTCGTCCGTCGTCGTAAAAAAAATCGTCTTCTCTAGAACTACTCGACCAAATTAAACCAAACCTGGCCTAAATCATCCTTAGGGCATCCGGTTTAAAAAATGTATCCGATTAACCATTAACCAAGATGGCTTCCATGGCTAAAAATAGAACATGGGGGTAAAATGCAGTTTTTGGCCTATATCTCTGAAACTAAAGCATTGTGAGCAAATCTGACATGTAGTAAATCTGTTCATCAGGACAAAATCTTTCTGCCCTGAAATTTTCAGATGCATCAGACAACTTTTTGTTGGTTTACTGCCTCTGAATTGGTAATTTTAAGGAAATTTTGCAGTTTTTGGTTATTATCTTGAATATTATAATAGATAGAGATAAACTGTAAACAGCAAAAATATTCAGCGAAGTAAGCTCTACAAATAAGTCAGCATGATCAAAATTGTCAATTGACCACTTCAGGAGTTATTGCCCTTAAAAGTCAATTTTTCTTAAATTTTTCTTATCTTCTACAAAAATTTTCTGCTCTAAAACTACAGGGCCAACTTCATTATAGAGAGATATAATAGTAAACAGCAAGAATGTTCAGTAAAGTTAGTTCTACAAACAAGTCACTCACACAAAAACGTCTTTAGGTACATTTCCTAAGGTGTGTACTTGTGTAAGTGCAGGTTGAAATATCTCGCCTGCTTTACTAATCATGATTAAAATTATGTTTAAATTCTTTAAGCTAAAGTTTTAATTCAAATGAACAAATCTTCATATCTCCCTAAGGCACGGGAAATAAATGTATACTAAATATTATGCAAAAACAGAAGACAAGGTTGAAGACCTGGTACATATTGTCTTGAACTACTATGTGGCTTTGTCAATTCTACGTTCAGTGATTTTCTTCAGTTATAGCTCGACGATAATATTTCCACGCCCTTGCAGTGCTAATCAATTACAACTCCTAAATAGTACTGTAAATATAACTTACACCCCTTTTAAAAAATCCAGGAGCCACTCCTGAATTAAAGCACAACTTTATTCCTATCTTAAATTGGAATGAAAGAAGGGTCGATTTACAATGGCCTATTAAAACCTTCAACACGATAGCGTCAATAAAACGTTCTTTCACTTGATCTCGTGAACTGTTTAGACATGAAACGACAAAACAATACTTTATTTAAAAACAAAAATGTATATATAATATTCCGTTTTCTGAAGATGTACAATTGTTAATAATTTACATGATTTGTGGAACCGTAAAATTTGGATTAAAGCGGATGTTGGGCAATAGAGAGACGAAGATTAGCATAAGGACATTCAAACGCATAAGTCGAAAATGGGAAATGAATTGACACTGCCATGGCTTAAAGAAGAAAAAGACAAAAAAAAAAAAACAACAGTACACAAAACAAAACAAAGAAACTAAAGGCTTAGCAACACGAAACCCAACAAAAAGCGGTGTTGATTTCAGGTGCTCCAGAAGGGTAAGCAGATCCGGCTCCACAACTGATTAGACATGCATTATTGTGGCTGATATGTAAAACAAACACAACATTTGAAAGCTCGTCAGGTATAACCCAAATCAACCCATCTTTACTTTCAGTTCCATTTGGGCCCTTTTCAGTCAACGGAAACTTTCCCGAAATAATTTATTCAAACTGCGGGCCTATATAAATAATTTTATTAGCATTTGAAAGCATGTTCTTACCGAAAGTATAAAAATTCTTAACCGAGGTTTCTTTTTCTAGAATTGACATTTTTTAAACGGTCGCTAATATAGAGTCATGAAATCATATTTAATTGTTGACTTTGTTCGCACATTTTAAATAAGTTAGAATTGGCAGGCCAATTTGCTGATTGTTGTCCCAAAACGGACTTACTGAATTCTAATGACTTTTGCAATTTATAATCCACGTCACTGGGAAGCAATTATATGCAAAATTATAAACCAATGAAAAAAGTCAATAATAGCCCCTATTTTAAAACGTTCAAAATAAAGTCGCCCCATATTCTGACACATCCCGGTATATTGATATATACTTTATTTGGTCTAATGCTAATGGCAATAAGAAATTGATGTAGTCCACATATATTTTGGACGATTTTGGAGCCTCTTTTCAGTTTGCCTGTTTATGAAATACCTACCGTAATCTAAAGCCAACTGAGTACCATTGATTATGATAATAAATGCATGAATTTCGATTTGACGCGTATGTGAAATGACCAGCAACTACATTCCCATGTTATTCAGCATTTTTTACAATGAGTATCGGAAAATAGTTTCCTTCCTTTATATTCAATTCATGACAGGAAGACAGAAAATCAAATAAAAGTTGTTTCCGTGTATTTAAGAACGCAATCTGCTAAATACATTATTGGCTATCCGATTTACAAGGTGAGTGTATGTTATGGGTGTTGAAATGTGTTTACATGCTTGATAAATGGTAATGTAATTAAATAGCAAAATATCTCGAAAACCAATTCTGATCCTTTTAGTTTTGAATTGTAAATTAATAGATATCACCATTCGTCTACGCATTGTTAAATAAAACTTTGTCATTATTATTCATTTGTTTTAAATAGCTCTTGTAACTGTCAAATTTAATTGAAGTGATGTTTTTTATAGACAGCTACGTTATCCTGTAAGTTTTATAACCTTAGATTGACGACTTTTCTGGAAGGCATTGTAAAATTCAAATACCGACATTTGTATAGTCAGTCATCTTAGTAAGAGCCTTTGTTTAGTAATTTGTAAAAATATCCAAATGATTGACAGATCAACTTACAACTACTGTTTATATATTTTTGTACAATGCATGATGAAATTATTCAATTACGCTTGTTTTTTGTTGGGTTTTTTTTCAGATTACCAAAAAATGCTTGGTTTGATATACATATGCGTCATATATTCCTGCGTGCAAATTGGTCAGACAGGTCCGTGCAAATTTGACGAGCGATGCCAGTGTAGTAAAACGAAAACCGGATATGTAGATGTGGATTGTTCGAGGAAAAAAATAACAAGAATCCCGAATTTACCCGAGTCAATTGTATTCCTAAATGTATCACACAATTTGATTGACTCCATCAGCAAAGGAATATTCGAAGCTGCGAAACATCTCTTAACACTAGACTTGTCGTTTAATAGATTGTCATCAATAAATATCGCTACATTCAATGGCCTCAGGAAATTACGTTACCTTTCTCTTGACAATAATAAACTGGTTTATAACAACCATACTTTTCCAACAAAAATCTTTAGACAATTGGAATTTCTTTCCCATTTAAGTTTAAAAAATAACAATATTAGGTCTTCATCTTGTTCAAGTTTTCCGGATAAAACAATTGTAGATTTGTCTGTTCTAGAAACGCTGGAATTAGATGCTAGTGATTGTGGAGAAAATTTTCTCGGAAAAAGATTTCGCTCCCTACGGAAATTAAAATCATTGGTATTAGGGAACAATTTACACTTTTCAATGTCAAAAATGACATTCATAAATACTAAATTTTTGCAAAATATTCTACTACATGCGATTGATGAAATATCATTTACAAGAAAAACATTCCGAAAATTGAGATACCTCAAGCATCTTGAATTTTCTTTCGATTCAAAAAAAGGTGGAATAATGTCGCCATTAGAGAGACTGGCGTCGGAATTAAGATTCACTTCAATTGAAACTTTGAAACTGGGCCACTCGACAATGCCTTTTCAAACATTCCCTTTGTACATTTTTATTAAAGAACTATATACAAAAAATATCACTGAAATATACATAACAGACAACTCGGGAAAAGCAGGACACTTTCCAGTACCTATTGGTGCTCCGCCACCAACTCTTCACATTTTGGATTTATCAAACAACGGTCTCATCCGATTTACACTTGATATAAGACACATTACTCGTCTAATTTTAAAGCAAAATTTACTAGGGGATTTCTTATCGACGAAATCTTATTTTGAAAAGAAATCTTACGGGGATTTCAGTTTGATCAAATTTATTGATATATCTCAAAATGATATAAAAGAACTTGCACCATTCACGTTTGATTCTCAACCATTATTAAAACATATTGATTTAAGTAACAATGAAATACAAGACATCACATTCAACTTGTCGTCTTTGGTTGAACTCGAATTTCTGAATCTCTCTTATAATAAAATCAAGTTTTTTAATGAAAGAACTATGCGTACTATTAACATATTAGTTGCACACAAACAGCTTACTATAGATCTTTCTCAAAATTTATTGCAATGTACATGCAAGACAATTCCTTTTTTAAGATGGATGATCGAACGCAATGTCTTATTTGTTGACCTTCAAGGGTACATCTGTACTTTCGAGAATGGTAGCACAATTATCATGAATCCGTTCGAGTACAAAGTCCTTCTGTTAGAAGAAACTTGCAAATCATACATAGGACTGATAATAGGTGGGTCAATGGCACTCCTAGTGGTTATCATGACTGTAATCGCAAGTTTAGTGTATCGATATCGGTGGAAAATACAATACATGTACTACATGACAAAAGGAAAGTACAGCTATAGGAAAATATCACCCGAAGATGACGATGAATATACATATGACGCATTTATATCATACTCCGATGATGACAGAAGCTTTGTCTTTAAAGACTGCATTGAAAAACTTGAAAAAGAAGAAAACTTAAGGCTTTGCATACATCAACGGGATTTTATGCCCGGACAAGACATCACTGTAAACATAACAAATTGTATCCACACAAGTAGAACAACAGTCTGTCTTATAACAAGAAAGTTTCTCGATTCATATTACTGCATGTTCGAATTCAACATGGCACGTATGGAGAGTATTTATTCACGACATGGAAGAAATGTTTTATTCCTTGTGTTTTATGAACAGCTTCAGCCTAAGGAACTTCCACTAGTCATGCTAGAACTAGTCCAGAAACAGTCTTACATCGAATATCCTAATGACGTCCAAGGAAATATTGTATTCTGGGAGAAAATAAAAGAAACGTTAAGGACAAACGTTCGGGCATGAGTTTTCGCGACAAGTGAAAATCAGGAAGGTTCATGTTTTATTTTGCTTTCCAAATGAAAAGGATAACTAGTAACTCAACATCTCGTGAAGATTTATTGTTCTGTTCCAAGTTATGTAAACTGCATTCTGTTCAGAAATTGTTCATCTGGTTTAGTTTTTTTCATAGTAAAATAGTATTGTTTTTCTTCTCTTCTCTAGATTTACTTGTATAATACCAGTGGTTTATAATTACTAGACAACAAAGCCAGGGTCATATGCGCAAAGTGGAAGCCAAATATTAGTATGAACTCAAATTTACCTCGTCGATTTACATTTAGTCTACACAAGTTAGATTAAGAAATTATCAACACCGGATGCATAGGCTAATGTCTTTATGTTTGCAAAAAAAAAACGACGTATGTATAATGTAAGTTGGTAGTTAAGAAGAATCGTAGAGATATCATTGGAAGTAAAAGTTGTAGCTATAATTCAATTCTATATGTTTTTCATATTTTTTTTTTATTATTTTTCCGTTTATTTAAGTGTAATTTCTATATATTTTTCCTAAAAGAAATGGGTTTTTTTATCTTTCTTTTCGATTTTTGCAATGAATGTAAATTAACGTCTGAGTAAAATTATTTTTCTACCAAGAGTTTCAGATTCATGTGACAATTTGTTCGAATATTCCTTATTTTGTAAATTACGGGAAGAAAGAATTGTAATTATGAACATGCATAGCAATGATTCGAATAAAAAGACACAATGGACAAGCGTTGGTTCGTTAACAAGATACAAATACAATTTGCCATCACGGTTTATGGTATCTCTTTGGCGTTTGCTTTTGTTGTAGTTCAGCGTCTCTGTTGTTCTGTTGTTTTCGTTATATAGTTGATGTGTTTCCCTCGGTTTTAGTTTGTTACCCGGATTTGGTTTTGCTTAATCGAATTATGAATATTGAACAACGGTATAGTACCATTGTTGCCTTTATTTGACAAAACAATGTTTATTCATTATAACTCCTTTATTATGGCTCAAAACCATATTTCAAAATAGTATCATATATACCTGTATATAGTTTTTTTCAACTGATTTTTATTGTTCGTTCTTATGTCGTACTGTTCCACTACTGTCCCAGGTTAGGGGAGGGTTGGGATCACGCTAACATGTTTAACCCCGCCACATTCTATATGTATGTGCCTGTCCCAAGTCAGGAGCCTGTAATTCAGTGGTTGTCGTTTGTTGCTGTGTTACATATTTGTTTTTCGTTCATTTTTTTGTACATAAATTAGGCCGTTAGTTTTCTCGTTTAAATTGTTTTGCATTTGTCATTTCAGGGTCTTTTATAGCTGACTATACGGTATGGGCTTTGCTCATTGTTGAAGGCCGTACGGTGACCTATAGTTGTTGATTTCTGTGTCATGTGGTCTCTTGTGAAGAGTTGTCTCATTGGCAATCACACCACATCTTCTTTTTTATATATAGTATATTAAATGTTTAGGTATTTTATAGTAGCTCATAATTCTTTTTTATAGTTGCTCTCATTGTTTCAAATTATAATTGTTATTAAATCTATTTATGTATAAAGTTATGTAAATAGAGCGGTGAGACTATAATAAAATATTTGTATGTGTGATGTTTTATCTTGTATCATAGAGAAATGTTAGGAAAGGTAAAATTTCTTTTAATATTAGTTGTTAAACTTTCCCTTTCTAATCAAATGGTTTTTATTGGTAATTTTTGTGATGAATATCAATTCGTTAATCCATAGTTTAAAAATATGTTTGTTACTGTTTTTCTGCATTGAAATTTGTTATACAAACAGAAGATTGAAAGTTATTGCTATTGATAACTATGTTTGTATCGTTAAAGAATAAACAAAATTAAAATAAAAGATTATATAATAATTAAAAGTTATTCCTCAGTTTTACATTGATTAACTAGCCAACCACTATCTTAATTATTCAATATTAATATAGTTTTAGTTCTTACTACTATTTTTCTACTGTAAAAGATGGCCTCTACAAATATTTTCTGATTAGATATATTCAACTAGTTTTGAAAATCAGATTTGGATTCTTAAAAAGTAAATCTACCCCCAAATCTTCAATCACAATCTTTACAATTTTGCAGTTTAGTGTAATATCAAAATGTTTTATTTTTCTGAACTCTACACTGCTACTCCTCATGCAGAATTAAAAGATCGACAACATCGACTCATGAAACAGAGCAATTTCTACAAAAACGGAAATCGTAGATTCAAATTACATGTTGTGAAAAATCTTATTTCATGAAGAACCTCACTGATTCTAACAAAATTTCACCAAAGATGATGTCATCAAAATGCTGGACTTTTTAATTGACAACATAATCGTTGAGCTTAGAAGATTGATAGTTCAAAAGTGTATTCTAATAAGTACTTTTTTGCGCCCTTACTGGTTGACTTGTTTTGTACTGATACGAAGCAGAATGAATACAGAACCTTCTCAAAGAAAAAGATATGCATCTTGTAAAGTTCTTTAAATTCACTATGTTACTATATAACCCAAATTACAATGATATCCTACATATCATATATATGGCAAGCCGTTTTTATATTTATTCCATTTTCAAGATATCTTATTAAGTTTAAAAGATATCTTTAAAACTAAATAAGATATCTTATTAAGTCATTGAGATATCTTATAAATTAAATAAGATATCTTATAAATCAAATAAGATATCTAAAATAAGATATCTTATAAAACAGTCTATAAAGATATCTTATTTAGGTTATAATATATCTTATTAATTCAAAAAGATATCTTATATATTTTCTCTATTAAAGATATCTTATAAACTTAATAAGATATCTTATAAACTAAATAAGATATCTTTTTAATTAAATAAGATATCTTTTTAGATAAATAAGATATCTTTTTTTAGATAAATAAGATATCTTTTTAGATAAATAAGATATCTTTTTAGATAAATAAGATATCTTATAAAGTATATAATATGTCTTGTATTCTTTATAATAATGCTTTATTCCAAAAGCAAGTACAGCTTTATACTTATGTCGTAACTGCAATACCCTTCCCTTTTCACGAATGTGACCTACCGAATTAGACTATTTATCGGATTTGTAATAACATAAGCAACACGACGGGTGCCACATGTGGAGCAGGATCTGCCTACCCTTCCGGAGCACCTGAGATCACCCCCAGTTTTTGGTGGGTTTCGTGTTGCTTAGTCTTTAGATTTCTATGTTGTGTCATCTGTACTATTATTTGTCTGTTTGTCTTTTTATTTTTGGCCATGGCGTTGTCAGTTTGTTTTCGATCTATGAGTTTGACTGTCCCTCTGGTATCTTTCGTCCCTCTTTTATAAGATATATACAATCTTTGATAAATTAATTATACATGCACTATATAAGTCATACAATCGTAAAGTATGACATACATAGAAATGTTCAAAATTAGCAGCGTAGTTTCTCAGCTAATTTTAGGTATTTAGGATTGTTTAGTTTTTTCAATATTTTGTACAGATAACAATTTATCAATTTATAAGTAGAGGGGTGTCTCCCATAATATTGTTTGGTATAGTTTCCCCTAATTTCAGCATATTTATTACATCAGAATACAAAATGAAATTCGTCTTCAATGAAACTTGTATTACAATAAGTACATAATTTATCTTTCCTGTCAGTATTATGATATAGTCCTGTCTCTATATACAAATTATGTGCAAAAATACGGTATAAACAAATATAAAGTTTATGAATATAATTCACTTGCTTGTCTAGGTAAAATTGTAAAGTATGTGCACAAAAAATATATTTATGTAATTGACATATATTTTGTGCACAAAAATATATTTATATAATTGACATATATTTCAGACTTCAAAAGAGCATTTGCTTCGCATATAAATGTATCAACCAATCTCTCCTTTAATTATCTCAGAAAAAAAATCTACAATATCTATCTTTTTGACTAATCTTAACACTACATAGTTGAAGCTATATTTAACGAAAATATTTTTAATTTTAAAGCACAAGCTCTGCTTATTATTTATCTGCCTTACGATACCCCAATATTTCACAACCATAGTTCAAAATACTTTCAACATAAGTTTCAAATAAGGTCAAACCTTGGACTTTTTTCTGCTCTTTGGTCGGGTTGTTGTCTCTTTGACACTTTCCTCATTTTCATTCTCAATTTTAGTAATGTTTCATGATTATTAGATAAATTATCTATTTGAAGTTATTAAGATATTTTACATACTTTATAAGATTTCTTATATATTAAATAAGATATCTTTTATATTAAATAAATTATCATATAAACTAAAACGATATATTTTTAATTTGATAGAGATATATTTAAAGCTAAATAAGATATCTTTATAACTTAATAAGATATCTTTATAACTAAATAAGATATCTTTATAACTAAATAAGATATCTTTATAACTAAATAAGATATTTTACAAACCCAAAAAGATATCTTATAAATCAACAAGCAGGTGATTAATCTAATCATGATTAGACCATAATCAGATTAACAAATAGAGTTTTGACAGTAGTTGTACATTTAAACAATACTCACACTAAGTAACCGGTCCTCATATTTCCATTACATTTCATTTCATCCTTATCTTTCTGCAATTAATGTTCTGTTATTGTGATCGGATATTTATATTTTCAATAATTTACTATAAGAAATACAACATTTTCTTTTACTGCCATTCAGAACAGCGATCTTTCACAAGTTCGACATTGGTCAGGTCATTTTTCTCTACCCTTATAATGTATTTTTACTTTTTCTTTTTACTTATAGTCATGTTAATAATAAAAAAAATATATTGAAATATATATTGCAGTCATTTATTTATGACATGAACAAAAGTTATTTCCATTTTTTCGAACAATCATTCCATTGTCACGACAGAGCCGATGTCGGTCAGGTCAATTTTTTTAAACTTCAAAAATTATTTTTTTCTTATATTCTTATGTTAAATGTTATAATCTTCCTTGATACTAAATTTGAGGTCAATTCTTTCTGACATTTTTATATCGGTCAGGACATTTGTCACGGCAAAGTCTAAGTTGGTCAGGTCAAGTTTTCTAACATTTCAAAATATGTTTTTTCATTTTTTTACTTAAATTCTTATATTGAAAATTATAATCTTCCTTGATAGTGAACTTGAAGTCAATTCTTTCATTAAAAAGTAAGTTATTAGCATTTTCTTATCGGTCAGAACATTAGTCAGTGCAGAGTCGACGTTGGTCAGGTCAAGTTTTCTAACTCTTTAAATTATCTTTTTCAAATTGTTTTCTTATATTTCTATATCTCATGTTATAATCTTCCTTGATATCAAATTTGAAGTCGATCCTTTGAAGAACAAAAAGTTATTAGCATTTTTCATATCGGTCAGGACATTCGTCAGGACATTAGTGTAACCATGGAAGAAGTTCCTGCGTAAATGTCATGTGTTAAACGGGATAGACCAAAAAGATTTTTAGGTCTATGTTGTCATTCACATTCCAATCAATTTACACAGTTAAATAAAATATATATGTTAACTATATTTATATTGGTTTTGAATTTAGTTACTTTGTTAGAAAAATTATTTATTTCTCGCAGACAACGCTAAATAATATACATTATCTCGACACTGAATCTAAAAACCCCTAAAATATAAGGGTATATGGAATCGTTCAAACAGATTTTCCTAATATTGATAAAGGTGAAATACGTAGAATCAGAATTGTGCACCCAGAAATAAGATCAGAGATAAAGCCCTATGTAAAGTGAAAACCAGAAAAAAAACCTGTATAAAATCATTGTTTATTACATTTGCTTGCATAAGAACCTTGAAGTTGAAACTAATAACGATTATGTGTATCCTGTCAACCCCAAAAAAATAATACTGTCTTCTTGACTACTTCCGTGCGCCACTGACTGAATTTTTAATATATTGTTATAGAGTATGTTAATTATATAAGATATATTGTATTGCTTATAAGATATCTTATAAAGTATCTCATATACTTTTAAAGATATATATAAATATTTGTTTAAAAGATATCTTTAAAAAGATATGATATCTTTTAAACTATACAAGATATCTTATTTAGTTTAAAAAATATCTTTATAAGTTAATAAGATATCTTACAAGGTTAATAAGATATCTTTTAAAGTATATAAGATATCTTATTATCTTCAAATCAAATAATTAAGATATCTCATATAGAATACAAGATATCTTATATAATTTGTTAGATATCTTATTTACTTTCTAAGACATCTTGAAATTGAATAAATACAAAAACGGCTTGCCATACATATATCCCAGTGAACTTGAAATTAAGGTGACTACCGAAACTAGAAGGTCTGCTAAAAATCTTGACATTTTACTCGAAATTGAAAAATATGGACGACTTCAATCTATGAAAAAAGAGATGATTTCAACTTTCACTTTATCAACTTCCCATTTCTTGGCAGTGAAATACCCTCTGTTCCATCCTATAGCATTTACATATCTCAATTAATACGCTACGCTCATGCATGTTCACTTTATATGGACATCATTAACAGGAGTGAGCTCCTTGAACAAACACTGCTCCGTCAGAGTTATAAGGAAGG